GCTGACGAATAGGGTCCACATGTTCGGCCCCGACGTTGCGAAGGATGAGCAGGTCGTCCCCGACCTCGTCATCTTCCTCAATCCCATCCCCAACATCCACGCCATACGAGAGTGCGCTCTCGAGCATGTACCTACCATCGGTATCGTCGACTCGAACGTCGACCCTCGGGTTGTCATGTACCCCATTCCGGCCAACGACGAGAGCACACGGACAGCAGAGCTCATCGCGGGACTTCTCAGCGTAGCGGGTCGAGAAGGTGTCGCGCTCTACGAGGAGGAGCAGGCAAAGGCTGCACTTGTGGCAGCCAAGAAGGGGCCACGGCACAGGGAGCCACACTCAGCATAGATCGCCACTCGTACACTACAATATGTTCTTTAATACATCATTATGCCGGCGCACCCTTCGCATTTTGGATATCGTGCCAGTACTCTGCGAGGTCCCGTGTGGTCAGCACGTTCTCCATCAAAGGAGGTAAGTTGAGACAACGTACGTTCCGCTACATCGAGCGCTCTCATGTTACCCTTGAGCTTGTTCAATGTCTCCACGTACTCGTCCTCTTCCACGCTGTCGTAAACAATACCTCCTCCAGCTTGTAGATACGCGATGCCATCCTTGAATACCATGGTACGAATGGCGATGCAAGTGTCCATCTCGTCGTCGGCGAAGTCGAAGCGTCCCACTGCGCCGGCATAAACGCCTCGGCGCTGCTTCTCAAGCTCGTAGATGAGCTCAATGGCCTTAATCTTCGGAGCTCCAGACACCGTGCCTGCGGGGAAGATGGATCGGAACGCGTCGAACCTATACCGTAATCGTCAGATACAAGGGGCGACAGAAGCTGTCTTGCCTGAAAAGGCGTACCTAGTCTTACCGGCCCTCAGGACGCCAGAGACTTGCGAAGTCAAGTGAATGACATGGCTGAACTTCTCAAGCTTGAGCAGATGGTCGACGTGCACCGTCTCCGGCTTGCACACGCGGTTCACATCGTTCCGTGCGAGGTCAACCAGCATGATGTGCTCGGCCCTGTCCTTCTCCGACGCGAGAAGCTCTGCACCTAACTTCTCGTCCTCTGGAATAACGGTCAATTAGGGTATGACAGAAGGCGACGGACACAAGGCACGCGCACCTTCAAGTGTCTGCCCTCTTCGAATGGTACCAGCAATAGCATGGTTGTACACCTTGTTCTTCTCTACCTTGCACAGCGTTTCCGGACTTGCTCCGACAATTTGTATGTGACCACAATCGAGGTAGAACATGTATGGACTCGGGTTGATGCGCCGTAGATGCCTGTATGCGTTGAACGGATGGAGGTTGGTCGGACGCGCCAGTCGTTGCGATGGTACTGCCTGGATGATGTCTCCCGCCACAATATGCTCCTTCAGCTTCGTCACAAAGCCCTCGTATCCCGCCTTTCCGACGTTCGAGACGGCCTCGTTTCCTAGTACGATTGGCTGCTGGTACACCTCTGGTGTCGTGGTGCTCATGATGAGCTTGGCCAGCCTCCTCGCCTTCGAGACCGCGGTCTGATAGATGAACGACAAGTTGACTTGGCCAGCATCCCCAGGACAAAAAACGTGCGAGACGACCTTCAGGCTTTGGTAGAGGTGGTCGTAGATGAGAAGGGTGTCGACAAGCATGAAGATCGCCTCGGGAATACGGAGGGGGTCTTCTACCACACGCGCGGTTTTGGACTCGAAATGCATGATAGAATCGTACCCGACATATCCGATCGCGCCGCCTGTGAATGTGGGGACTTCGGGGAGCTTTACATACTTGTACATCCCCAGCTCCTTCTGCAGCGCGACCAACGGGTCCCCAGTCGTCTCTTCATTGGGTCCCACCCGGATGATTTTGAACGGGTCTTGATACGCAATTGTGCGTGAGTGCGGGGTGGAAAGGGTGGTAGATGGATTGAATGGAGGACGCACCCGCTCCGACGAAGCTATATCGCGCAAGGTTCTCCCCCGCAACTACCGACTCCAAAAGAAAGCTATACTTCGAGTCCTTCGCTATCCGCAAGTACGCGACGCATGGTGTGAGGAAGTCGCCAGGGAGCTCGACGTATACTGGAACGCAGTTCCCTTGCTTTTCCTTGAGAATGATGTGTTCAACAGTAGATAGAGGTGGAAACGCTGGGAGTTTCTGTGGAAGGAACAATCGGGACCGTCAGAACCGAACACGTCTCCCGGATCAACATGCATATTGACCTGGGTATCTAGAGACATATTCAGCGAGTGCGGTGCGGCCAGGATATCGCTGAGGGAGAACGTCGGGCAAAAGGGTTATATACTGAGCAGCGTGGATGGTGAACCCGAAGAAATTGTGCGCCTGAGTCACCCGAGCACGCCTGCTGGCAGGCATCTGTCCTCGCTCTCAACTCACTTCCGAACTCGAGTCCGGCTTTCATAACTGAAGAGGGCTCTAGCGGTCAGTCGCGACAGCATCGGAGCAGACGACCAGCCATTGCGAGGTGATGCAGTCAAAGCTGCGATTCCAGACGACATCTATCCATTCCGCGACGGAGCGCCCGTACACTACGCAACGCTCTAACAAACCACCATGATCACCCCTCGCTTTTCCTGTTCCCAGACAGAAAATTCGGTGGTCATTAGCATATACTGCCCGTCCGTGCGGGTAAGTCCATCTAGTTTTTACGCCGCCAATACCTGCACTTGAGCTGAAATTTTCCGGGAACGGAAGTAGGCATCGGACGTCGAGATCAGTGTCGACGAGACGCTCTTCAGCGTTCACATCAACCCCTACTTCCTACGGCTCAATTTCTCGCACGCGCTCCTTGAAGGCGACGCATCATCCGCTGTCTATGACCCGAGCACCGGATATCTGACGGTGACACTTACCAAGGAAGTTTCTGGACAAGAGTTCGAAGACCTCGACCTGCTAGCTAAGCTCCTCGCGCCACGCCCGCCTAAGGAAGCACAGACACAGCCAGTAATAGAGATCTTGGAAAATCCAGAGACGCCACAAGATGATGGTGTGGACGAACTCGCTGAGCGGACGCAAGAGCTGACGTTAGAGCAGCGGGAGATCTTAGAAGGTATGCGGCCGCCGACTTGCCTCCCGATCACACGGCCAAACGAACCTTGTATTTCGCAGCCGCAGAGAACGACTGGCAACTGCCACAATCTATTCCGGAGGTATTACCACCACTCCGGACGACCGCTGAGCAGCGGTACGGCTTCTTAAACACGCATTCCGGATACTTCAGGCATGCGGAACATACTGAGAATGAGGTCAATGAACTTCGCGCCGACGCCGAAACGAGCACTCCCGAAGAGCGCCGCCAAAAACGTCTCAAACACGAGGACGAGAAGTGGGATGAAGAATACTACATGTGAGCAGGGGAAGTACTTCCCATGATCTGATGCTAATCCGAAGGCGCTACGTAGGGCTGACTACGTCGACGACGAATACATCCGGGAACTCATCTCATGGCCGAACCCCCACCTCACTTCCCCGCCAGAAGAGTTTGAGTACACAGAGAAAGAGAATATAGTCATGCTACGCCTTCCCCGAAAGGAGTGTGCGTATTGACAACAGCTGACTGGCTCCACAAAGCACTGACCTTTTATCAACAGATCTATCAACGCCAGCGCAGACCCATGCCCTGTATCTGACGTTGCTTACCGTACTATTCTCGTATGCGTATGAAATGCGGACGACCCAGCATGACCCGACACCGGAAAGCGCTTGGACCCTCGCGTCTCTCACACCAGCTTTCTCCGCACTGGATCCCGCGCCTTATGACCAACCGCAGCAGCGTTCTGCGGTACCGGGTGCATTCACCGAGGCAGAGGTAGCTTCGACCTTCACTGTCTCCTATCGGCGTGCCCTCGCATTCCCGTTGTATCGCTCTTTCGCGCTAGCAGAAGCATGCCGTGCGGACGTCGCAGGCCTTCTGTCGCGCGGTAAGCGACTCGTGGCGCGGTGTTTGCTGGAAGTGAAAGACATCTTGGATCATCACGAGGTGTATTACGTCTACAGCAAAATATGGGTGGATGACTTCTGCGTATGGACGCTAGCGTATGCCAGGTAAGCTCAGCCATATGGCGCAATAACTCAGCTGGTATGGTAACACTGTCTATCCAGCGATGAAATTCTATCAAGGTTAGCAGATGCTGTCAAGAGTCTCCGCATGACGAAGAGCATGATCAGGTGGGATTTAGAGGAGCTTGAGAGCCTCGCCCGTGAAGACGCCCAGCGGGACACTGACAGCGATGATGAATCGGAGGACGAAATTGAGCGGATGCTTCCCGCCCCTTTACCGTAGCTTCATGTCGTACGTACCTACTCCATGTAACGGTGATGGTAGGCTTCCTGATATCCCTACCGGCATGAGGTGATTCCATGATGTAAGTGTTCAGTCCTTGTGATAGCTCTGTACGTTGACAATATGGGGAAGCCGGAGATCGTCGCTCGTCACGGACAGGCCAGCGCGCGACTCATTCCACGCGTGCGAACGAATAAAAGCCCAGCCCAGCGCTCTGGGCTCTCGCCATGTAAGTTAGGCAGTGATGGTTAACGTTACTGAACCACCCACGACTAGACCAGTTACTCAGACCCCTGAGTAGAAACATCTCAGACCCTGAAAAGTTCGCACGAATGAACAACAATGTCCTTTCCAGAGCATATGCTTCGTAAGCTACGTCCGACTTGAGATGAAACGAGACGTATCTTATGACCTTTGATCTGTCGGGCAGATCCTGAAACAGAATAATGCCATGCCTTGAAAACTTCCAGAGAAAAGCTTAACTCAGTGTGCGCCACCATACTGCCACCCGTCCGCGCGGTTCGAGGCCAGGCAGCAGGCAAGACTACAACGCGTGGATTCACAAGCCACTTGCGGTGGGAGCACGCCCAGAAATCGGCGAACTGGGTGATGATATCACCTCTTTTTCGCCCTCGTCGAACCAAGTGAGCGCATGGCCGGTAACCGTGAAGTGAATTCTATTGGTGACGAGACTTCCGGTAGCTCCCTCTTCAGGACGTTGACCCCCGCCTCCTCCACTGCTGGAGCAAGCCGCCATAGATTCCGAAGCACCGTCGTTCTCGTCACTTGCGGCAGAAGGGCCAAACGAAGCTAGCCACGCGGCGTCCTTAGTGGTGCTTCTCAGCCGCCATGTTCTCGTCATAAGCCTTCCCTGCTGGGCCTTGGTACTTTCCTCGGGAACGTGGTGCGCAAATGACCCGCCTCGCGGACCGATCGAACTCTGTTTGGCCGAGATCCCCTTCACTGGCCACGCGGATAGACGTGTTTCGACCCGGGTAAGTCAAACCTTGTGCAAAGAAGGTGTCACACGTTGGGGAAAGCGATCGGGTAGGTGATTGACCTGCTTAGTAAGTTTTCGGGCGGAGTCTGTTGAAGCTTATGATTCGTATAAGCGGCGGCATACGAGGCGTGAGACATACCACCTTTATCAGGTCGGGAATGGCGGAAGGTAGTATCAATCGCATGATAGAAGGCGATGCCATACGGATAGCCCTTCTTCGGCTCGCCCATCGGCAGGTAGACTTACAATATCATGCAACCATAAACGTTCGCTCTAGACGATACGGGGTGCATATGCAGATAGCTCAGTACAGCTACCTCATGAATTGTAGTAAGGAATATGTGAGTCCCATGATCCCTTCGCAATGAGGGATATTCTGTACATAGCTCAAAAGGCATAACTGTAGGTGCGGCGGACGATGGCAAAAAGCCTGGGGTCCATTTACAGTGTTTTAGTAGGACCGGCGGCAGACGATCTTCTTGCATGCCGTGCGAGTCGTAAGGCATCTTTTGCTAGTGATTGAAGCCATTCGCAAACGTATGATCTCGATATTTCCATGCTCTACCGCCTTATACACCAATCTCCAAATACTCTCCGGGTAGCATCTACGATGAGCTTACCGGTCAGTCGCGGCGTATCTCAAATCTTGAAAACAAATAGACTGACCAGATAACCCCGCCTCCAGGGTGCAAGAGGTAAGAAAACGGTATACGTATTGACCCCGAGGAACCCCCGAGAGCGACACGCTCATCAGTGGCCCGTGGGGGCAGCCCACGCCGGCACGCGTACACGGCAGCCATCATTCCGTGACCGGAGAAGATGAGAAGCAGAGCCTGTCTAAGTAGCATCGGACGCTCTGGCTCCGCGGTGCCACATGCTCTCGGTACCGCGCTGCCGTAAGTGAGGCTCCCGAATGGCCTGAAGTGGTCTTTCAGTCGGCGGCTCTCCCTACGGGAGAACGAAGCCGCACGACATGCATGTCGGCGCGCACCTCGTGATTGCCACGGGCGGTGTTAGATGGTTCTTTCGGGCCCTTCGGAGCTCCTCTTCGTCTCGTCGATGGCCACAGATAACGAGCGAAGCTCAGAGCGGTCCGCCGGGCGAACGGCTGTTAAGGCGGCAGAGCTGCGGACTCATCAACGAATGCCAAGAGTCGCCGAGCCTCGAGGGGGTGTCACACTGACCGCGCAAAACCAAACGTACACAGCCTCGAGCTCCGGCCGCCAGGAAAGGCATATGCATGTCGAAACATGTCCATGTTCAATCAGCGCACTTTTGGCAGCGTGGCAAAAGCGGCGTATAGCCTTAGCGGGGCCTCTCGACGCCTTCTGGTGATGTTTGTGGCAGCCAAGGCAGGCGAAGCAGGCTCTGGATGTGAGAAGAACCTGCCGAAGAGGGACTGGTCTCAGAGGGAGACAGCGTGGATGTTTTGCTGTTGTGCGAATCACGCGGAATGGCAAGTATCTACCATACTGGGCCCAACAGTAGTTTCTGGAGAGGTTACTCACCTGCAGTTGGATCGTTCAGGATCATGAGGCTCTCGATGATGACAGATCATCTTGTCCTGCCACAAATTCTTGTTATGTAATCGTCCGCGAGGGTCTCATTGGCATTTCTAGTCCAAACTACTATGCTCTTCTGCAGGTCGTCGGCGGGGGGGGGGGGTGACCGGGTCAGCATACCATGTTCGTGAGACAATCCTGTGTGAGCCTGAGACTCCTATTCAGTCAGCCTTTACCACGATGTGCACGTATGTTAGCTGTGTCACTTGCCCGCAAGCTCGTCCCGATGAAGCCGCCATTTGGACCGGGCCGGTACATATGGTTCACCATCCCAAGCCAATTTTGACTTCATCGCATGCCTGTGCCCCGGCATCTCGTCTGAACATCTCATCGCGCTCTCCCATCTCGCACTTAGCCGCTCTCAACATCGGTTCCGGATGGAGTGGGAAATGGGGGCATGTTGACATGTGCGGGTTAGTAGGAACTCTATCTCAGAGTTGATACACACGCCTCCCTCTCTGACCGCCCACCTACCCATATCGGGAGTCTTGCCATGTTGTAAGTAAGTACAGCACGCAGAGCCCCGCACAAGATCCCAAGTGGCGCCCACTTCACTCCGACCTCTAGCTCTTCCTGGAAAGTCTAGAATGCATGAATTGAGTGGCTGGCCTTACCCTCGAAGCCTCCCGCGCGGATGCCGTCTTGGCGTGGTGCTTCGAGCAAACGACCGAGGGCCGCACAGCACAAGGCCGCGACAACGTGACGTCGCCTGCGGAAGGTGCACATGTCCGCAGAACTACACGCGTTCGAGCTTCCCTGTATCGAAGCTGAGAACGTCCCTTCCTCCCAATCAACGCCGAGCGTAATTGCGTGCGACAACAACACCCGCATCTGTGAAGTGTGGGGACTGGGGGACCGCACGCTATCATACCCTAGCGACGAGGGTCGCACCCCCTCGTCGTTTGCCTCACGATGACGGTATGTACTGGGGAGCGTTGGATCAGATTGGCTCACTGCACAGTACGTACGTACGCCCCGTTCCCCGCGGCCGCCATTCATCGATTCGAAGGCTGCGCTACGGAGGAGCCCACAGTCGGGACGTCCAGCCCTCATCACATCTTGCTCACATGAAACGCAAGTACATCGAGACGGGGTTGCCCATGAGACAAGACCTGACGTGCAAACAAGAGACAATTTCTTCAATCGATCTACGATCGCGAGGCGGAGGAGAGCCGGGCGAGCGGAAGGTTTGTTTGAAGCTCAAAGATGGACTTCGGAGAGCATCCATACCCGGCTAGCCTCGGACGCGCGCTACGCCACACGGTCCGCGAGACTCACTGGCGGGCGTCCGACATTCTTGACAATGCATCACGTCCGGGCCAGCTGCCTCCGACAGTTGCCAATGCGGATACCAGGATCTCTATGAAATCTGCAGACCGCGTCAGATCAGCTCGGACAAATCGCAGAGTTAGATAGCAGCATGTTCGGCGCGGACGCAAAAGTCCGTCGCCGAGAAAGACACCGCGAGGATTCCTGCACGCGCGGCGCGAGAAACACGGACACGTTGTGGGCCAGAAGGGCGAGAAGCCGTGGGCCCGGCGGCACGGACGAGACGAGAAGCAGCCACGCCCAGGCGGGAAGTCACCTTCTGGGAGATACGCAGCGCCGTCGGCGGAAAATTAGCTGGAAATCTGACCGTCGAGAAGTCGTGCATGGACTGCAATCTGCCATTTGCGTAACGCACATCAGCTCGTCGCGACGATGTCCGTGTCAGATGCGCTCCTGCACGTACGTACGTATATATATGTGCGTAGCTCGCAGCCACCGCAGAGCGTCAGCTAACGTCGGGGGAAGAAAAGAGGGCGCAGAACAGAACAGGTCGACGTCTTCGCGAAGTAGATACGTAGCATTTTGACTCCGGGAGAGGCAGGGAAGCGCAAACACTGCATAATTTATCTATGGGAAGTGCGATCGGTGAGTAGACTATGAAATACATGGCGATGCGTGCGGTATGTGGCTGGGGAACGAGGACGATGGAAGTACGTACGAATTATTCATACGCGCTCGCGGGAATTAGGGTGCGATCGATAGACTACAAACATACGTGAGCAGATACATGATTCCACGCACGCGCCACGGATGCATGGAACCCGAAGGGGCGTGGTCGTGGTCGAAGAGGACGTGTATAAGATGGGGGAGGCGAAGACTGATGTTGGCCTGGGATGGGGTACGAGCCGGAGAGCGGTAACGACGGAAGCGAGCAAGTTGTTGCTATTATCGACGGGTATTGCGGTATAGATGTGCTTGTGTGTGCAGTCAGAATGTAGTGGTGTGTGTGGCAAGCTTGAGATGCATGTGTAGGAAGCAAAGGTCGAATGCAACGAGGAACGGAGGTGAGAGACGGGTTTGCTATGTGCAGACGTGCGCGAGAGAACAATGGGCGTATACGACAACATGGGGAACGAATGGGCAATGAACCGAAAGCGAAGAGGAAACTGCTCGAGACGATGCGTAGCATATCACCTGAAAGCCGCTATAGAAAAGAGAGCGTAGACTGGAGCCGAACGTGGTGTCAAACGATGACGAGGAGGCATACAGACGAGCAAGCTGCGAACACCGGTCGTCTGGTGCATGCGAAGGTCGATGTGCGGATGTAAAGATGAGGGGGAGCTGGGCAAGCTGGGGACTATCTCGCCGTCCGCTTGCGCGACATGCCCAACACCCCCAAAATGCCCACACTGTTCCGTTGCGACTGCGTCTCGACGTGAGCGAGGATATCCTCCCATGCGCGCACGTCGGCGACGGGCGCTCCGAGCTTCAAATCCAGGCCGGACGTTTTTGCCTTCACCTTTTCCCGCCATTCCCGCTCGTCCTCCCTGTCATCGTCGGTGTCTCTCTCACGCTTCCCATCCTCGCGTGACGCGCGCGATTTTCCGCGCACCTTGTCGACCGCGTTCAGCATGCTTTCGCCCAGACCGGAATCCTTGATCCGCGTGTGCGAAGAGTTCCCGCTGTGCGAGCTAGACGCCGAGTCGCGACTGGAAGTATGCGAGAGAGGTTCTGGGCGGTCGCGATCGGAGCGTCCCAACACCACAGCAGCGTTCGTAGCGAAGGAGAAGGACGACTTGTCGCTCGGACCGGCGGACGTATGTGGTCTCCTCGGTACCTTCTTACGCGATTTGCGCTCGCGATCGCGCTCGGAGTGGGTGGACTGGCGGTGGTCACCGCCGTCACTCGATTGCGCGGGGGTCTGAGGTGGGGATGGAAGTCCGTGGCCGTTCATCTTGGAGTCCGCGCCCGAACCGTCCTCGCCGCGCTTTCTCCATGGGCTCTTCGATTTGCTTCGAAGCGAGAGCTCCTTCTGCTCTGCCCACCTCTCCATAGCAACCTTCCGATCGGCTTCGCTCGTCGGGACGACAGTGATCTCGCGCGCGTCAAGGTCGAGCGTTTCTGATCCGCTGGGTCCAGCAACGATGACTCTCGTGCGTAGATAGAAACGGACGGATGCAAAGTCACTCTGCATAGTTTCGCCGACAGCCCACCGCGAATTACTGCGGTTTTCGGGCCACTGCAGCCCAACGGATTTGACCCAGACGCCGGAAGAGTCGCATGTGAAGGAAGTGACATCGGCTGTTGTGAGTGTCATAGTCAGCGTCTTGAGGATATCGTCGCTAGTGGAAGGAACAGAAGAGACGATGGGTGATGCGGACACGGAAGATGGAGAAGGGGAGGGTGGCGGCTGGGATGGCGACGGTATTCGAGGACTGGGGATGGGGGAAGTAACTCCGGAGAGACTTGTCACACTGGACGGTGATAGGAGGGGGAAAGTGGACGAACTAGAGAAAACAGTCGTCACGGAGTCCAATGCGGATTGACTAGAACCCCATGGACCAGGTCCATACGGCGACTGTGGATTGGACCGAGAGCCGCGTTTGAAGCGGGAAGTTGTTGGAGTGGGAGCGTCTTCGTCGGGATACATTGAAGGTGTAGGGGAAACGGACGAGAAGGTTGCGATGGGTGAAAGGGAAGCGGCTCCGACATGATTGATGCCTGCAGTGACAAGTGGAGTGGGAGCAGCTGGCGTGTTGTGAAGCTCTATCCGACGCTCTATTGACACAGTGGCGCTTCTGATAGCAACTGACGGGTCTACTGGCTGTAGGAGGAGAGTTGCGTGTATGATGTCAGAGGGTCCTACCGGTGTGGTGGGGGCGAAGACATTGTACCGGACCACAGGTGCACGAGGCTTGTTTGTTGTGTGATTGAGCGCGTGTCCGGGCAATGGGAGATGTATCGAGGGTGGAAGATCGTAGCGGACAAGGGCGAGATCATAGTACCGAACAATGCGGGAGCCGACGGCTGGAAATGGTGCATGATCGAGGACTTGGAGGAGAGAATGAGAACACGGACAAAGGAAATGCACCAACAGGACATTGGCAGATGGGGTGCAAGCGTGACATTTAGCGTGATGACTTACTCGCTTCTAGCCGCCAGAAGACACGGTAGTCTTGATAATTTGCGGTGCTGAAACCCGGAGTCCGCTTTGGCAGAGTGAGCTTGAAAGGCAGCTCGAGCTCCCCGACGTCCGCATATTCTTTATTTGGAGGTTTGACCCAGAGGACGTCGGTATGATCTACGACGAGGGTAGAGCGGACAGAGCGGGAACGGGTAAGGCGAGACTGGTAGCAGCGAATGGAGATGGAGAGGGACTTCGCAGGTACTGGCCTGCCATCCTCTTCGAGTTTTGTGCGTACGACTGCGGCGCATGTGAGTATGGGGGACGGAGGGGAGGGAGACGGTGGCACGTACTGCCTTCGACGCGGACGGGGGTGAGACCAAGGTAGCCTTGGTGGGGAAAGAAGCGGTTGCCGGAGTTGCCCCTGGTCGTGGAGAGGAGTAGCTTGACCATGGGGAGGGGGGAGGAGGAGGACCCGGAGGAGGCGGGGTCGATATAAGTAGGCGAACATTGGGTGATGGTACCAACATCCCATCCAAGCCGAAGAATAGAATTCTGGGCGACCTTCTTCGTTTCCCCATTACTTATTTACTTAATTATTTCCCCCGATCTCACCTGCCTTTCCCGGCCGTCTTCCATCCGAGCCTTCTCCCACACCGTCCCCGCAAACACAAACGCCCACGCCTTGCCACCGCCAGCCATGCCGCCCTCGTTATACGTCCCCATCCTCATCGCCGGGATGCTCATCACCGTCCGTGACTCTCTTTGCGCGAGGCTAAAACACAAGCTGACTCTTACCAGGGCTCCAGCAACTCGCTATGGAGCAAGTGGCAAGTGCGTGTCACCCTGTCTCGCCTGTCCGTATTGTGAATTCACCCTTTCCGCCATATAGGACATGCAATGTGTCGAGAACTGCAACGACACTAATCCTGCGAGGCGCATTCTCTATGAGCAGCCAGTATGGCAAACCTTACAGATGTTCCGTGCGTACTCCTCTCAGTCCTCCTTGTACACACGGAGACCTGACGTTGTCACCGTCCGCGTCAGTCGGAGAGATGCTTTGTATGTGTATCTCCTCTATTGCGATCATCCCCTCACGACACGTGCTCTTGTGCCAGGCTTCCTTCCTGTCATCTACTCCTGGTTTCGCGCCAGGCGTCAGTCCCAACACTTGGCTTTGCCTTCCGACACCGAAGAGGAGCCTGCCACTGGAGCGAAGGCCGAGATCCCCCATGCTCCTTTAGACGGCTGGAAGGTCTTGCTTATGTGGTTTCCTGCAGCATGCGACCTTACCGGCACCACGGTGCGCTTTCCGCTTATCCTTAACCGCCCCAATCTTCTCATGTCACACACCCTGATATCCCCCGCCTGTCTTGCCTCTTCTGTCACAATGTGCGTTTACAGTTAATGAACGTCGGTCTGCTCTACGCCCCGGTTTCGATCTATCAGATGACACGAGGAGCTCTCGTCCTCTTCGTCGGTGTACTCTCCGTCATCTTCCTACGTAGGCGTCTCTGGCTTTACCAGTTGAGTTTGCCCGCCTTCCCACGCATTCTGCTCGATCGAGCTATCTCTTAGCCCGCCGGCACTACCTTTGAGCGACATGCTCATGCTGGTTCCACAGATGGGTAGCCCTTGTCACCGTAATGGCAGGTGTTTCTCTCGTCGGCCTTAGCGGCTCTATGATCAAGGATGCCGTCAAAGAGTCTAGTACCGGCAGCTTCGACAAGCTTCCCCCGCCAGAGCCTGTGGAGGAGCCTGAAGTTACCAAGGTCCTTGTCGGTGGGTTTTGCTTCTTTCCCGCAGCGGGCTTCGGACATCACCTGACCGCAGTCCATAGGTGTATTCTTCATTGCGTTTGCCCAAATCTTGTACGTATCTTCTAATTTGGCCGACTTCCTTCGTTCATTCGTCGTATATATCGCCACTCTTCTCCGATTATACCGCTCGCCGTGACATGTCTGCTGACGCATCTTCCCTGCGACGGCACGTATCGACCCGGCTGTTGACAGCACGGCCACCCAATTCGTTGTTGAAGGTGTGTCTCCCTTCTCAATCATACCGCTCGTGTTGTGTACATTCAGTCATGGCTGACATATTCTCATGCTGCGCACAGAGAAGATAATGGCTCGTTATACTGTCGCCCCGCTGGTCGCCGTTGGTCTTGAGGGCTTCTTTGGAGCGCTCAGCATCGTGCTCGCAATGCCGCTTCTAGCGCGTTACTCGTCTGTTTCACCGTTCTTCGATCTTCCGCGCGGCTGGCACCAGATGATTGACACGCCTTCGGTGCTCTGGTCCGGAGTAGTCATCGCCTTTTCCATCTCGTTCTTCAACTTCTTCGGTCTCAGCCTTACTCGGCACGTTTCCGCCACTGTGCGCAGCTTGACCGACACGTGCAGGACGATTACCATCTGGATCGTCTCTCTCGGTCTCGGCTGGGAGGTACTCGTGTGGCCCATCTCCCTGCTTCAAGTCACCGGCTTCGGACTGCTCGTGTGAGTGCTTCCCGTCTTCCTGACGACCCTAGGTGCCCGGGTATGCTCATGAGCGCTGTTACCTTTTGACGCAGATACGGCACGGTGTGTATTGTTTCACGGCACGCTGCATTTCTTCGGATCTATATGCTGACATCTGACCTCGCAGTTCATGTTTAACCACCTCGTAGCGCCCCCACGTTTCCTGCGCCCAGCCTCCGAGCGGACCGGCGCAGCGCCCGCCCCCGATGACGGCGAGACGCAGACGCTGCTTGCTGAGGAAGCGCTTGAGGACACAGCCGTGCTTCCCTCGGAACTGGGTCGCACCGGCTTCGACGTCGTGCCCCCCGAAGAACACTCGAATCATGCCCACACCCATGGCGTCTCCAGCCAGGCTGAAGGTGAGATCAGAATCTGAGTCCTGTAGGCTCGCGTCTGGTCTATACACCACATGTCTCCGTAGCTGGACTCTGGAGGCCAATTTGAGGCTATACGTATGTGTTACACTTACGCAATGCAATTCATCGTGGGACTCTACCTCTTCGTCGTCGTCGTCGTCTATGGTATATCCTCGGATGTTGTACATTATGCTCAAGCAACAGCAACTATTCACACCGCCCATAATCTCCCTCTGCCACTCTTTCTGAATAACGTTGACTACATCTATTCACGCCATATGAAATTTTGTGATTCTCTGAGGTCCAGCTCGCTTGGTAGACAGGGTCGCAGAAACGGACGACGACGATATGTGGGCAATATCACAGGGATTCGCTCGGGAAACTCGGACAGCCTCGCTATCCGCTTAGCAGATAAGTCCCCAGCTACATTTAAATGTATTCATTCGCGTAGGACGACGAGGAATTACCGACGCATGCGGCCCATTATGTATTGCAGGTCAAAATTGGCCTCTAGCGCCGCTGAACTCATTGATCGCGCGCGGCGTATCTGGGTTACGTATCGTGATCTGACACCAATCTCTGAATGGGATCTAACTTGATCGCCGGTCCGCGGCGACGGCGAACGTTCGATGCTCTTGAGGGTCGTTCCGCCATGGCACGACGCCGTTAAGCGGTTTGCGGTTGCCAGCCAGTATCGTACGTGTCGCGGTCGGCCACACAACGATCTCGAACTTTGAGTGGCGACGGTCAAGCTCAGTCACTACGTGGTTTGTTGATTTCTGCACTGCGAGTGCCGTCCGCCGAGACTGCGCCGCGCCTCGCTATCGCTGGATGCTTGTACCACCGTCACGGCGAAACGGCGTCGACGACGTCAGCATCCGTGGCACAAGCCCGCTTGCCCCAGCTGCACAATGCAAAGCGTTCCGCGTGAGAGCGTGCATCGTTGCTCCGTTGGCTGTTGGAATGATCTCTCCTCTAATTGGCGTCAGTAGCCGTCGCTAACGGCGCATAATGGAATTGCAGCATACCTTTCTGAATTTGACGGGGTCGGGTGCAAATTTACGGGACCCATCGACTCGACGGACTACGATCTTTTGCTAGCGATTCCGATGGAAGCAAGCATTGAGCGGAATGATTTGGACGCTCCCGGGTCCAGAGCACTATAGCTCGCATACTGTCCCGGTAGTGAGCTTCTGGGGTCACCTCGATCGGTAGGCGGTGTCGCCCCGCTTATTTCACCCTCCGAGAAGGTTTGAGGCTAGCTCCATGCAGTACTGTCCATTCATCTCATCGATTGGCATGTCAGACGATGCCCTAATTCACAAGCGCCACCTACGTCGACTATGCCTTCCAAGCTCATGGAATCCTGGTGTGCGAATAGATCGGGAAATGCTTCTAGGCTGTACGTGGTACGTACTGTTGACGCGCCCCGATATCGATCCTACTCAATCCACATCGTACATATAACAGCTTGGAGATCGGGGCCAGTAGAATGGCGCCACCGTTTGACCAGCCATCCTCTCGTGTGTCATACGAGCCGTGGAATTGTCTATCTACAGTACGTTGTTTGAGCCGCCTGGAGAGGAATGTCCAGCTTCCTCGGCATCATGGAAGCTCCAATTAAGAAGGTTCCCCACAATGCGGCCTTGCACAATCTAGCCTCGAGGCGCGGTCTCTTGCAAGGACGGCGCTCGGCTATCGATGGTGGTGCGTCATGCGCTCGCAATACCACAAGGGCTGAGAGTCGGACAAAGCGTTCCACCGCGCACGAAGTTTCAGGATTCAGCGGGATGACTACGACGCCATATTCCTTACGTTGTTCAGCTTGACGAGGTAAGCGTACGTATGCCACATCGTTTGTGCTTGTCTCGTGGCTGGGTTTATTACACCGTCCGCCTGTTGTAGGCTGACTGTTCAGGTAAAGGGGATCGGAAGATTGGGAGCCTCTCCGGGGCGTTGGCTCAAGCGCCTGGCACTTGTAGCGCCGAGAAGGGCGGGCGCTGGGTGCAGTACAATCGACGGGGCCGCCACAAAATGCCACTTCAACAAGTGCAGGCCTGTAGATATACATTGTCCAAGAATCCTTGAACCAGTGAACAGGCTCAAAGTCGGACTCCGAGGCTGTAGTCCAACTGGGGCGCTTAGAGCCGGGCGACGCATAGATTCAGGTTTTCTGGGCTGAGTACGTATCTGGAGTAATCTCATGTACTAGCTTATGAGTGTTCAAGGGCCCTACAGCAACCTTCTCTTGTCCAAAGTCTCAAGGCCTATACACTCGTGCACCCGGTGCCTTCCCTTCTCACTGTGTCGCAAGTGTCACAAGGCGCTGAGCTGACTTTGAACCTCGCAGGTAAGCGCGGCGCGGTAAAATGAGCGGTTCACAAGAAATGAGCCCCCCTGATAGCTCAGACACCGTCACAGTCTAACCGGTACGAGTCAAAGAGTTTGCTTGTTATGCAATTTCTTGTACACTAAGCTAGGAACACAGTGGACTTGGACTTTTCTCTTTCCTGCTATCCTAACTGACATCGGCCTCGCCGTCGCAGACACCTCCACAGACAACCTGGCATATATCACCGCGTACACCCGTCAGCCCTGCTGCAGTCCCCAACCAGTCCTCGACCCCGCCAGAAGGCCTGAGGGCTGGTTGGGAATGTGCGCACGACTTGGACATGACCTCGGTACCAGCCTCAAACCAATGGGCCTGGCGAGCAGCGCCACGGCTAGCGTACTTCGCAAAGGGACCACGAGCTTAGAGCTAGCGTCAGCCATCCAAGTCGCTGGCACGGGAGGGCGAGGAGGGTCTACACCGCATGCACCCCTCTAGCGGCTGCCGCGACGTCTCGCGGCATCTGGGCTCCATGCTCGGAGGGGTGAACACTGTTGCTCGAGGATGCCATGGACGCTTCTTCATACTGTCCCGGTGGCAAATTGCTGAGGACGTGCGTGTATGGCGTCGTATGTGCGAGTTTGTTGCCGAATTGACCCTCTGCAGCTGCGGTCAGCTCACTAGTCTGATATGACCGAAGGCGAGGTGATTCAGGCCTCACCTGAATGTTCCTCTCCCAGGAAGGTCAACATCTCGAGGACTCGAGGACTCGTAGGCGAGGTTACTTTTTGAGGCCGAAGGCGACCGGGAGTTGATGGCGAATATCCCGGAGCAACTTGTCGTGGTTAAGGAGGTGAAAGCGAGCTCGAAGGCGGGTGGGGACCGCGGGGCACGAATGTCCCGTCCTCGGTTCGACAATCAGTCGGGAGCACGAGTCAGATGGAACTGGAACAGAGGCATGGGAGGCTATGGTGGATGTTGCTGAGACTGTGAGCTGCCGGACACTTCTTCATGGGAGGCTGGATTTGTTGCGTGCATCGTGCTCATCAGGAAGGTGATATGGTTGGGTTCCTTGCGATGACGTCCCGACGGTCCCAGTAAAGTGTTCTAAGTATATTCAAGTACAACGGTGCAAGGATACATATGACGCTTATGGATAACTTGTTCTGCGTGATCCCCGAATCTCCCAATTGCGAATCTCCAACAGGAATATTGTAGTTGCGGGATTGCGAAAGTTCGCCTGCTTCAGCCTTTGAAGGATAGGGTCGAGGCACGTTCGCGACCACCGGTACGCCCGTGATGTCCTCCCAGCGGAGGGGGCATAGCCATGGCTTGCCTAGGGAGACTGTAAAACATAGCCTCAGACATTCAGAGTACTTCTCACGGATGTACGGATCGTAATCTTACCCCAGTGCTCCGAGGTAGAGAAGGGGAAGCAGTCGCCATCGTCTTCGTAGGCCGAAGGGGCCGACCAGACGAGGGGGAGCCACCGCCCAAGTCCGTCGGCCCCACCTGGTATACATCCCTACGACTCCGGCGGCTCGGAAGTGCTCAAGGATATACGCCAGGGACCACGAAGAACGATTTTGGTGGCAACTGTATCACTTGCTACGGCCGGCCGATGGCTGACGTACGTCCGGACGCTGCGTACCATCGACAGTATCAGGTAGGGAACCAGCGCGAGGTGATAAGGCATTACTTACAATACCTCCAGTGACCACAGTGCGTTGTGCTCCTCCTCGCCCCAAGAGTAGCGAATCGGGAGGATGAGGTGCGGATTATTATTAATGCTGGTGAACGATGCTGGTCGCTTTTGGTTTTACGGACGGGAGACAGAAATCGCGTCAGAGATGCCCAAGAACGAGACGGCACTGGAGAAAACATACCAAACGAGCGTCTAGTGCCGGGGGAGGAAGACGGCAGAAGAGATGTATGATGCGTTCATCGGTGATACGTGTGGAGTGATCCCGTAGACAACTTGTGCAGGCATGAAGGGGAAAGATAAGAAGATGATGAGGGTTCAGAGTAAAGAGGAGTCACCGCATGATGCAACCTTGTATGTCGTTCGGAGGATAGGCTGACGGGATATCCCTGCGGCTGGCAGTTACGCTGGCGTAGTACTATTCACGAATGTCAACTTGTCAGCCTCGTGAAGTTGATTCTAGACCGGCACGCAGGGGGACTAACAAGATTGTCTGCGATCGTTTCCCTCCTGTCTTGGAGAGTCGAGGTGTGGCAGGTGCACCGCATCCCATGTGATTCTATGCGAGATGCGAGACAGAGACGGGCTCGGCTTACTGGAAAGGCTACGACGTCTGCGCCACGTGAGTTAAATAGCATGTACTCCAGAACAAGGACAAACCTGTGACCGGAAATCGCTCTGTTCATCTATGGAGGATCAGTCGACTTCGCACAGTGCGTACTTAGCGATGCTCGGACATAGCAACTGACATCCAGGTTAGGTTCGTAGGTGGCAGTAAGGGACTGTCCGAAGAATGACAAGCCCACCATATGGTATGTTGATCGGTGGGTCGGCGCAGGGCACTTGGCAGAAATCAATCAGTCCAAGCTGAATTCAGCGCAGAGGCTGCACAGGTAGGCTGCAGGGCAGTATGAGTGAGAAGAGAGAGCGCGACGAGACCCGTCAACGTCGCGATGAAAAACACGACGCACGTGTTCGCATCGCCGGCACAAACTGTCGACACTCTCGCCTGGCATTCATTGTTCGATACTGACCCGAGAAGAGCGGCGAGCGCACCTTTGCTTCGCCCAGGTCCATCCTCTTGTTCATCCTCTTGTCTCCTTCGACGTCGACTGTCATCTCACCGATCGGTCTTCGTTCGCCGTCCAAATCTCGCGATCTCCCAAAGCTATGGCAGCCACCATGGAGCCCAAGGCCGACTCGAAGAATCCTCTCAAAGGCATGCCACTCGGACAAGTGCAGTCTCATGATGCTATGTATGTGCCAGGAAGAGATGTTGAGGATGGGCCTAAACGTCGTCATGCCAGGCCTATGGGTGGACTACGCGATTAGCGCGGTTATAATACGAATCAACCGCGAGCTGCGGGACTCGGGAACGGGCGCGCCGGCGGCGGACTAGTCGTGCCGGGGACTTGGAGCATAGCCGCGATATGGTTCATGCATCTTACGTCTGTTCACATGCCAGACGATGTCCAACGCGTGCAGATGCCAGTAGGATTGGGCAGAAGCTGGACATCGTCATGTGCGAAGCCTGATCTCCTCAGAATCTGTCTCTGCTGCGCTGAGAACATTCCTCCGTGGTTAGTCCGGGCCCTGTATCTTGGACACGCTCAATGTTCGTCCCGTCCCGCCCGACGGTCGCGGCCCGTCCTCTTCATGGCTCTTGCCTCATATAAAGCACCAGCCTTCATCGACTTCGACCTGATGCCCCAAACTCATCTCACGATATGAGGTTCAACGACGGCTTCTGGTTGCTCAAAAGCGGCGTCAAGCCATACCACGGCCTTCAGGTCGTCCAAGGCCTCCAGGATGGCGATGGCTTCAATCTCCAAGTCTCTACCAAGCCCATCCGCCACCGTGGAGATACGCTTGCAGGTGCGCAGTGATCTCTTGACACACACTCAACAAGATACTGACAGTGTCTTCTAGGACCCGTGCTCAGCGTGCGCGTGCACTCCCCGACTGAGGGTGTTATAGGCGTGAGGATCGAACACTTCAAGCACGTCGACCCGACGCCCAACATTGCACTATTCCCCGACGATCCCCCTGTGGTCTCTGCATCTCTAACAAAGACAGATAATACATGGACTGTGGCCACTGGTGGCCTGACCGCTGAAATCGCCCAGAACCCTTACACGATCACGTTCAAGTCGCCCACTCGCACGCTCACCTCGGCGGGTTACAAGCACCAGGGCATCTATGATGTGCCGTACAAATGGACGCTCCGGAGCGTGTCGAACACGTCGTGTCTCACGACAGACCCTAGCTCGAACCCGAACCCAGGCCCGCCGCCCGAGTTCGTGCGTTACGTGCACTCGGAACTCAACATCTCTCCTGGGGAGCTTCTGTACGGTCTGGGGGAACAGTTCGGACCGTTCGTCAAGAATGGTAGGTATGCTTCCACTCCGCGCAATTAGGTTTGGGATTGTGGTGACGCTCGCGACTTCGGATTTCAGGTCAGTCCGTTAGCGTTTGGAACCAGGACGGCGGTACGTCTAGCGAGCAGGCCTACAAGTGTGTTCCTTTCTACATCACCAACCGGAACTACGGCGTGTTTGTGAACCACCCTGGTGAGGTCGAGTTTGAGGTGGGCAGCGAGAAGGTCAGCCGAGTTGGCGTGAGCGTTGCTGGCGAGTCTCTGGAATACTTTATAATCTATGGCCCATCGCCACTGGAGGTCAGTACTCTCGATGTTGTCTCCTAACCACGCCTTCTCAGTCAGTGCATCAGATTCTTGAGCGCTATACTCGTATCACTGGTCGTCCCGCGTATGGATGTTCAGAGGTTTCAACTCGCCACGATCTAATATTCTCCTAGGCTACTTCCCTCATGGACCTTCGGTCTATGGCTCTCGACGTCCTTTCTTACGTCTTACGACGAGAAGACGGTATCCAGCTTCCTTCAAGGGATGTCCGAGAGGAAATGCCCAGTGCGCGTCTTCCACCTAGACTGCTTCTGGATGAAGCAATACGAATGGTTCGTCACCTACTTTTGTCGCGTCATTTTTGCAAATCGTCTAGGGTCTTCTCTTTACCGCTCATCGTGTATCACCAGGTGCTCCTTCACGTTTGATCCCGACAATTTCCCCGATCCCAAGGCCTATCTATCCGAGATCAAGCAGAAGTATGGTGTCAAGATCTGCGTTTGGAGTGCGTCGTTCCCATCCCTTGTCCTCATCGTATTCTGTCCGAATTCTCTCCTCGCGTTATCTCACTCATCCGACTGTCGCTTATCTTCTCTTCGCATTGGCTGACTGTTTGTCGATCTCGGCGCCATCGCCGACAGTCAACCCGTATATTTCCCAACTTTCTCCTATTTTCCAGGAAGCCGTGAAGGGCGGATATCTGATCAAGCGCAAGGACGGCACGCCGTGGCAGTACGTATCCGTCACCATACTGTTTCCATCGTTCTCTGCGTCTTCAGCTCACTGGGACTACCGACACGCCGCGACCAAACAGGTGGGATCTGTGGCAGCCTGGATTAGGCGTTGTGGACGTGACAAATCCCGAGGCACGCCGATGGTACGAAGAGAAGCTAGACGCACTGGTCGATCTAGGTGTCGATACTTTCAAGGTGAACGATGAGACAATTCCTTCCTGCTTCTTCATTATGCCTGGTCTTGTGCTCATCATCACTCGCGCGCTGCATCACAGACCGACTTCGGAGAGCGGATCCCCCACGCGAACGTAGTCTTCCACGATGGATCCGACCCATTGCGCGTGCACAACACGTTCTCGGTCATCTACAACGAACTGGTCTTCAAGTTGCTAGAGCGGAGGTTCGGAAAGGGCGAGGCCGTCGTGTTCGCGCGTTCCGCGACGGCTGGCGGGCAGAGGTAATCTCCAGACGTCAGATTGTATACGTCCATCGCTAATCGCGACGATGCTCCGGATCAGGTTCCCTGTGGTAAGCCGACAGAATCGTAACATGATACGCCCCAGGTCGCGGTACTGACCTGCTTGCTAGCATTGGGGTGGGGACTGCGAGTCGACTTTCGAGGCGATGGCAGAGACGCTTCGAGGCGGCCTCAGCTTGACGGCTTCAGGGTTCGCGTTCACCTCACATGACATTGGTGGCTTCGAGGGCCACCCGCCGCCGGAAATCTATCATCGCTGGGTCGCGTATGGGTTATTCTCGTCACATTCCCGACTGCACGGTTCCATGTCGTACCGTGTCCCGTGGCAGTATGGAGAGGAAGCGGCAACGTACATGGCACGCTTCCTAGATGCGAAGCACCGACTCATGCCTTACCTCTACGGCCTCGTGCGTCTTCCCCTTCGCAGAAGCGCAGAAGCGCTTTCGTCTAATGACATGCTAATTGGTCCGCCATCATAGTCTATCCATAGCCACACGAAGGGCCACCCGATACAGCGCGCGATGTTCATTGACTTCCTCGACGACCGCACCACACACTACCTCGACCGGCAATACATGTTCGGGCCCTCCCTCCTTGTAGCCCCCGTGTTCGTCCCGGATGGCGAAGAGTCGGAATACTACCTCCCCGCCGGGCGCTGGACGTCGTTCTGGAACCCGGAGCGCGTGCGTGTCGGCCCGACGTGGATCAAGGAGGTCGTCCCGATCGACCAGCTGCCGGTGTGGGTCCGCCAGGGGAGCGTGCTGGCGCTGGGCCCGACTGGGGTCGGACGGCCGGACTACGACTTCGCGAAGACGGTCGACGTGCAGGTCTATGAGCTCGAGGAGGGCCAGGTCGTGCAGACGGAGGTGCCCACGGGCAAGGGCACTCAGATCGCAGGCGTGATCGAAGCTAAGCTGCAGGGTGGGCAGGTCTTCGTGGGCGTAGCGAGTGGGGAGGTCGGGCTGGCGTCTGTCAGCTACCTCGCAGGCGGGCAGGTGCATAGGGCGGACGTGGCGAGCGGCCAGACGCAGGTTTCGCTTCGTGTGTGAAATATCCTGGCGCGGAGTTTCGACCATTAGAGACGAATCAAAACGTACGAATGTGTACGATATGTGTGGTCATTGAGATATCCAATGTACAGTATTGAATTGTACGTCAAAGGAGCGGTGACTCGGCAAACATGATGAGCGTGGGCGAAGCCTCCTTGTCGGGTGTTGCGAAGTCCCACGTTCTTGGATGCCATGAATACCCGAGACTTCTCGAATCTCTCTCGAGTCTCGCGGAGTGCCATGTAGGGTAGAGCGAGAGGGTAAATCCGCAAGGTGGCACGTGCATGCTCAGTCTTCACGGAGCTCTTTCCAAGCATACTCAATTCTTTCTCGTTTTGCTTTCGCCTGCTCCCGATTCTTTGTCGTGCGGTCGACACGCTTAGAGCATACGATGACCGGACGTGAGCGGGCATGTGTCAATATTACTCATGGACGTGCAGACTCACCTCCTTTCTAAGACACATGTTCAGGTCTTGCTTTGCCTGGTTACAGCCTCCCGTCCAGCGCGACCAACCGTCGGCGTGACAGGCATCAAGTGCCTGAATGAACTCCAGACACACTGCGTGAAACTCGTTTGTCAGTCTCACATGTAAGATACCTCGAATGGGCCTTTCAGCGACACGCCTGGACGGGAGAGTGCGAACCTAGCTTTTTCTCCGTCAACTGTGGGTGCATGTTCCCGTGACTTTGCGCGCGAGCAGAGGAACCGACTTTCGCGTCGTGCAGAGCCTTGTTCCACGCACAGACCTGTCTGAGAGCTTGGCAAGGGACGGTGTCGGTGGAGGGAAAGTAGCAGCTACGGGACAAGGACAGCGGACGCCGGAAGGCACTCACAGATCCGAGACAGGGCGCGGACCGGAGCGGAGAGTCAGACGCCGACGGGATGCGTGATTAGATATCAGCGTCGCGACTGCCTTCGCAAGGCTATATAGCAGGGACATTTCTCCCTCCCCACCGCGAACTCCCTTCCCCAAAGCTCCCCTCTGCCTCAACCATGTCTCAATTTGCACCTGAGTCCTCCGACGCGATTGCCATCGGCACCATTCGTGCCCTAGCGGCCGACATTGTCGGCAAGGCTAACTCCGGCCACCCAGGTGCGAAACAAATATGGCGATTAAAAGCGAGTTTGGGATATAGATCAAATGTCTTCCGCCTCTAGGTGCTCCTATGGGTCTGGCTCCTGCGGCCCATGTACTGTTCACCCGGTGTGTCATCTTCGTGTTGTAGGCTCCCCTGTACTTAACTGCGAGGTCAGCTTCTTCACTGCTAACCCTAAGAACTCGAAGTGGTTCAACCGCGATCGGTTTGTACTCTCGAACGGGTGCGTAAACGCGTATTGAAACTATATCCAGCCGTTGCTGACTATGGGTTCCTCTAGACATGGGTCAGTCAATACGACATGTTGCACCCGTCGCCGTCAGTTGATTCTGGCATAGTTGTGCTCTGCAGTACACCCTCCTCCATCTTTTGGGCTACAAGCTTTCTCTGGATGACCTCAAGCAGTTCCGTCAACTTGACTCCTTGACCCCTGGTCACCCGGAGGCTGGCCACACCGACGGTATCGAGCTCACTACCGGGCCCCTTGGGCAGGGTATCTCGAACGCCGTCGGTCTTGCCATCGCCCAGGCTCACCTCGGGGCTACCTATAACAAGGACGGCTTCGATCTCATCAACAATTACACCTATGGTTTGTTGCCAAGAGTTATGGGCCACAACGCGACGGGTCTGAATGGATGTTACAGTGTTCGCTGGTGATGGCTGTCTCATGGAGGGTGTTGCTAGCGAGGCCGCTTCGCTTGCTGGTCACTTGCAATTGGGCAACCTCATTGTGGTATGTCGCAACACGACCATTGGCCATAAATCGAATGCCGCTGATCGTATGCGCTAGATCTACGACGACAACCGTGGGTTCTTATGGCAACAACGCCCTTTGGCAGTGGTGCTAATTGATTCGTAGACATCTCTATCGATGGTGACACTGCCGTTGCGTTCACTGAGAACGTCGAGCTGCGTTTCCAGGCGTACGGGTGGCACACCTTGCACGTCGACAACGGTGACAGGTGAGCTCGGTCATTCCCACAGACTGGCCGTTGGCTCACGAACATGTGAACAGCGACCTTGCCGGTATCTACAACGCGATCGCCGAGGCGCAGAAAGTCAAGGACAAGCCCACCCTTATTCGTCTCCGTACCACCATCGGCTACGGCTCTAAGCAGCAGGGCACTCATGGTGTCCACGGCTCTCGTGCGTTATATGCCACGCTACTCGATTGATCCGCGCCGTCTGAAATACGACGAATTAGCTCTCAAGGCCGATGATATCCAGCAGCTCAAGACCAAGTTTGGCCTGCCTGCTGATCAGTCATTCTACGTTCCCCAGGAGACCTACGACGCGTACCATGCTGTGGCCTCCAAGGGTGCCAAGGCCGAGGCCGCTTGGAACGCCCTCCTCGCGTCCTATGGCCAGAAGTACCCTAAGGAGCACGCTGAGCTCACCCGCCGCATCGCCGGCAAGCTCCCCGACGGTTGGGAAAAGGCGTTGCCCGTGTACAAGCCCTCCGATCCCGCGCAGGCTTCCCGTAAACTTTCCGAGATTGTGCTGTCTGCGATCGTCCCTGTATTCCCTGAGCTCGTTGGCGGTTCGGCCGACTTGACGGGCTCGAACCTCACACGCACGAAGACGATGATTGACTTCCAGCCCGAGAGCACTGGTCTTGGCTCATATAAGGGCACCTACATCCGTTTTGGTGTCCGTGAGCACGGTATGGGTGCTATTGCCAATGGTCTGCACGCGTATGGCGGTATCATCCCCTTCGTTGCCACCTTCTTGGTAAATTGACCGACTGGCTGAAGTGATGTAAATCCTGAATATTCGTTTGTGCTGCACAGAACTTCGTCTCATACGCCGCCGGTGCGGTGCGGTTGTCGGCGCTGAGCGGGCACCAGGTGATATGGGTTGGTGCGTCACTTCGCTACATATTCTCCCTACAAACAATGGCCTTGAAGCTAATGACATTCATTTCGTGCACGAACAGCCACACACGATTCCATCGGTCTGGGTGAGGACGGCCCCACCCACCAACCCGTCGAAACCGCTGCGCACTTCCGCGCCCTCCCCAACCTGGACTTCTGGCGCCCCGCTGACGGCAACGAGACGTCCGCGGCATACTACTCTGCGCTCACGCGCAAGCACACGCCCTCGATCCTTTCGCTCTCGCGTCAGAACCTGCCGAACCTCGAAGGCTCGACGCTCGAGAACGCGCTCAAGGGCGGGTACGTCGTGCACGAGGTGCAGGGCGAGGACCTCACGATCGTCTCGTCCGGCTCTGAGGTGTCGATCGCGCTGGAAGCGGCGGTGCAGCTGCAGAGCGAGGGTATCAAGACGAGGATCGTATCGCTGCCGTGCTGGAGCGTGTTCGACCAGCAGCCGCAGGAGTACAGGCTGAGCGTGCTGCGCAGCGGCGCGCCGATCTTGGCCGTTGAGGCGTTGTCGGTGAGTTCCTTGTAACATGCGGGCGAAGAGGACGTGTGGGCTCACCGTTTGCGATGCGACGACGAACAGACCCTCGGGTGGGCCAAGTACAGCCACGAGCAGTACGGCCTTACGACCTTTGGCGCGTCCGGCCCGTACAAGAAGGTGTACGAGAAGTTTGGCCTCACTGGTCCCAGTACGTCATTCGGGTTTATGTCGTCCAGATGGAGGTGCTGAAACTCACGTTCACAGACATTGCCGAGCTCGGTAAGAAGGTCGTCACCTTCTACAAGCAGAAGGGCGGTGAGGTCGTCTCGCCTCTCGTCAAGGCCATTTGAAGCGATACCTCTGGATGGCCCACAACCACTCGAGCTGACTGGAGCGGGTTCGTACTTGGGGCTCAATAGAGTAATAGCAAAGTAGATTGAAGTCTGTATGCATGTAATCCCGCGGTATATAGAGCACGGTATGATTCGCACTTCTCCTGCACGCCTGACCAGGGATGCCGTACAAGATATCATGGCCAGGGAACAAAGACTACGGCAGATAGTCATCCTGCAGGCGACCAGAATGCTCGAGAGGACCCGATGACTAGCCAAGACCGTGAATACGCACTCTCTTATCGGCCGGATGAACTCGAGGAGGGAAGAAGCGGCCGCACGAGGATCGTGTGCTCTGCGGAAGTCGGTTGAGGTAAAATCAGGCATCACGAGGACGTACTCAATACTGGTGTACGTGACAGTAGAGTCAGGTTGCAATGAGCCGGAGTCAGTGCGAACATGAGCACGACGACTTCTGGCGAATGACGAGGATGACATTATGTAGGTGGCGAGGTAAGGTTCTCGTCGGCTATAAGCTCTTGTAAGCAAGATGTCTACCGCGTCCTCTGAACCTCCACATGATCCCACTTCCACCGCTCCAGGTTCTCCTGCTCAACATCCTGAACGTGGGGTTTGAGGTAACGGACATCCTTCACATCCTGGCGTCAGGATAACGTCATAGAAGACTTTGTCGAAGTGCGTACCTCCTCCGGCTTGGTCCATTCGCTCTTAGGGAGAACATCATGCAGGACCGAAGCATGCGAAGCACGCTTGAAGCGATACGCACGGTCGTAGGCCTCGCGATGGGTCAAACGCCCCAATGCCTGGTGCACAAGGTTCACATTCGTTACCGAACGCAGAAAGGAAGTGACTACTCACCCGCTGAACATCATCGCGCTCCTCCACAACTGCAGGAGGACGCGGTTGATCAGGGAACACGAAGACGGAGCGCGAAACGTCACGTACGGAGGTCGTCGTACTTCAAGCCGACTTTTCTGTAGCCAGCAGCGTTGGCGTACCAGTCCGCGATGGGCTTAACCCATGCGTAGATGCCGCGGTTCCTGCGGATGGCGGGGGCGAGGGAGGGGCCAAGAGGACCGAAGATGGTCATCGTGGTGGTGTCTATGTGCACTGTGCAGCGTCCGTCGCCGACGCCAAACCGCGACTCCTCCCGACGTCTGTATGACCCTGTTTGGCTCCAGTGGCTTGGGCGCTAGCTACTACGCCGATGATTGAGTGCCCGATTTGGGATCGATACGAGGAAGGGTAAAGATCGAAGCAGAGATGTATAAAACGTCGGCAGTCCTCTTCATCCTCCTCCATCTCTTTATCTTCTTCCATCTTCCCAAGCCCACTCCTACAGTCGCCATGTCGGTCAACGAGCGCACCTACATCATGGTCAAGGTGCGCACAATGGCCAGCCAGGCCGAACACAAGCAGCCGCTGACGGAACGCGCTCTTTGCAGCCCGACGGTGTCCAGCGCGGACTCGTGGGCAACATCATTGGTCGCTTCGAGCAACGCGGCTTCAAGCTCATTGCCCTCAAGCTTGTTCACGCTACTCCCGAGCACCTCGAGAAGCGTACGTCGCCGCCGAATCAGATTGCTCGCGAACTTGGTCTTACCGATGGACGCGCATAGACTATGCTGACCTCAAGGGCAAGCCCTTCTTCCCTGGCCTCATCCAGTACATGGCTTCCGGCCCCGTCGTTGCCATGGTTTGGCAGGGTCTTGATGCCGTCAAGACCGGCCGCTCTATGCTCGGCGCGACCAACCCTCTAGCGTCCGCTCCTGGTATGTCGCTTGCTTCTACATGAGATTGTATCTAGCATCTGTTGAGCACGTGCTTGCTCCACAGGCACCATCCGTGGTGACTTTGCCCTTGCTGTCGGCCGTAACATCTGCCACGGCTCTGACTCCGTCGAGAACGCGGAGAAGGAGATCGCTCTGTACGTCAAATTACCATTGCCTTGAATTCTGTTTCTGATGGTCTTCGGTGCAGTTGGTTCCCCGAGGGTATCGTACAGTACACTCACGACCAGGCCAAGTGGATCTTCGAGTGAATGCTGCACAGAGAAGTCGAAAGCAGTATCATTGTGTAAAACAGACGTCCAGCATGTAATCTAGAAGTCCATTCCGCGCATGCCCGTGATCTCACTGCTTTTTCTGGAGTGCTACTACGCCAGATCAGAAGCGCTCAAGTGCTATGTCCCACGCTTCCTCGTCGGGTCCCATAGGGATTATCCGCTCCGACACTATATAGGCACAGTTCCCAAGCATGGGTATCCGGTCTGCTCGAGTTGTCGGGCATGGGAAATATGGAGGGACGATGTCGTGGACGACCCCTCCAGCCTGACCCTTCATCACCGTTATCTCGCCCTGCTTTTCTACTCTCCTCGTCTCTTGGCTGCCGGAAAGGATGCGCATCTCCTTGGCTCATCTTCCAAAGCCTTTGCTGGCAGTATTATTGGTGACTGTGCCATCTTGGTCCTCCGGTCCTTCTGTGCTTCAGGGCGATTCTTGGTGCGGGACCTTGATGTGTGTCTCCGCTACGGTCAACACATCGATAGTGACTTGTACGCCCTGCGCATGTTGACAGAACCTCTCCCTCACATCCCCTCTCCTACAGATCAGCTCAAAGCCCTAAATCAACTCGGATGGATGGCGATGTACGTGACGTAGTCTGCTCCTCAACTTGAAAGATGATAGACCCTGCATCAGCGGATTTGGAGACCAGATGGCGAACACGCCATTGGTCATAATCTGGCAAACAGCCAACGGAACTATTATCCTATCTCAACGACAAGCATCAGGCCTAGTCGAACCCCTACCCGTAACAGACCCACCGCGACAGGCAACAGTAGCCCTACAAGCTAGCATAGTGCGTCTAGATTATGCGATCCTGACCGTTTGCGCCACACTCGGAGATACTGAGTGCCTGATTTTTCGCAGTTGTCTGGTGTGTCTCCCATCCTTGCCTTCGATATTCCGAAGAACAACGATACCGTCCAACCACTCGTATGGGCCTTCGGGCTAACTGTTCCTCCCGCCGACCCCTCAGCGTCCATCGAACAACACCTGGATGCAGGAAACCTCTCCCTCAATTTGACCAAGGTGCTCGCAGATCCATCCAGCGAATCTGTACATACATCTACAACAACTACCCAAACTGGGGCGATCGCGACAACGTTAGGCCTAGCGCCATCTCAGTCATGCCCGACGAGTGCGGCCACGATCCCATCGCACACAGACAGCGTCCTAGTCGCACACGCCGCGCTCTCTGCTGCGGGCTTTCTGATACTGCTGCCCCTTGGTGCTTTGGTGGCTCGTTGGGCGCGCGTCTTCACGCCCAAGTGGTTCACCGCGCATTGGTTCATCAACGTCGTCCTGGGAATCCCGCTCATATGTGTGGGTTGGGCGTTGGGGCCCCTCGCCGTCGCGCGGAGGGGCATGGGACACATCGTTACGCCACATCAGGTCAGCTTCCTCGCAATCTGTCCGTCCGTCTCGTGCTTCTGACGCTCATAACTTCGCATACTGCTTCGCAACTTCTCCTCAATGACGCCCATCCCTCCGCCGATGAGCAGATCAGCGGTGTTGTTCTATTTGCGTTGTACGTCTTCGAAGTTGCGCTTGGCACCGTCGTCCATTTGCGACGTCCAAAGGACGGGAAACACCATCCTCCGCGGAATATCATACACGTGGTGCTGGGCCTGGCAGTCTTTGGACTGTCGATATACACCGTGAGCGCTCCCCGTTCGCTCCTACCCCCGAAGCGAAGCATCGGTCTTATCTAACGACGTGCTCGTACGCTCGCAGACCATCAACGGCGTAGTTCGGAACCCAGCGCAGAGTGGCGCCAGTCAACGCATCGTGGTCGCGATATGCATAGGTTGGGCAGCGGTGAGTACCCCACTTCCTTCCTACCTGAACCAGAGGTCCGCGGTTGTGGCGCCGCCGCCACCTCGGGGCGCAATATGCAGATGGAATCATCGAACAGAGCTGACGTACTCGCTGGGGGTCATTGCTACCGACTTACGTCCGCTCACCGCTCACCCATCTTCCGCAGGTCTTCGCAGGGACTTACTCGATCGGAATGATCTTCCTCCGGAAGCAGCTTGCGCAGGAACGCCTCGGCTGGAATATGACTGAGAGCGTCCCGATGCCGCTGCCATTGACGCTGATAGCCCCTGCCAGCCGGACGTCGTCAGAATCTGTCATTGCGCGAAGGACGGCGGCGGTCGACAGCACGATCGCGGACGATGGCACGCATGATGTATTCTCTGCAGCGGTGTGGGCGGACCCTGTCGAGGAGACCGATGGGCCAGCAGCAGATAGGCGGACCAGGACCGAGATGCGTCAGGTGCAGGCCGTGCCGGTGTCGCTCTCGGCGTTTCTGTGAATGCTTCGTGCGAATCATCCTGCGTCTCCCCTGGGATGGATCTTGAACCCCGAACTTTGCGGGACGGTCCCGGCTCACTGCTTGGAAGCATAGAGGCATGGAGGCTGGTGCGTCATTGCGTACGATGTTCTTCGTCAGGACTTTGGGTGCCACCGACCCGGCGTACACGTTATCTTACTATTCGTATTGCGTTTGGTGGAGTGCTGTCTCCTGTAGAGACCGCAGTTGTGCTTTGCATATCGCAAGGAGCTTATGTTTTGGTAATTGCGTAGTCTATGTCCGAACTAGCTTCGGGTTCGTCCGCCGTGCTGACTTCGTGAGTAGTTTCCCTCCCGCGCACAACCTCCACTTGCTAATCAACGCGATTCGGAGACGCCGAATGGCGTCTGCTGTGCAGTGCCCGAGATTCTTTATCGCTCACAGCGTTTGCATGCATGAGCGTGCGCTCCAACCGCAGAGATCGTGCTCGCAGCTATAGGATTCGTCGTTCCAAGTTCTCCAGGCCGAGTAGTCAGAGGCAGCGTGCGGTCAAAGCGGACACATGTTCAGCATGCAGATGAAGTGCATGATCGGCAGCGCACTTGGTCTTATACCAAAGGAAGTCAGGTCAAGTATCAAGTGCAATAAATTAGTAAAGTGAATTAAGACAAGCGAGCAATTGCCATAGGGATCTAGTACATGAAGCTGCTCTGGTGGTACAAACTACCTTCTGGATGTGCTTCCAGGTAGTACATCTGTAAATCTACATGATAACAATATCGAGGTGATGTACAACGCCCGTGGTACACAGGGTATGGACGGACGGATGGGTGATTGCGCGGAGCTAATAATACAATGAGCAGATCTAGAGAAGCATTGGCTGGACAGCGCTGTCGGTCAGGAACGACGGGATGCATCTCAAGATTGGCAGGGAAGCTCACCTCGCGTGTAGGGTCCCGTGTGGTCATTCTAAGATCACAGCCGCACAGCAGCGGAACCATTGAGCACTTGTCGCACTGTTAATAGGTGTGGCCGTGCAGAGTATATGGGATATGCTGCCCTAATGATCAATGAAGGGACTGAATCCGGAGGATGAAGCTACTCACATGTTTTACAGTCGTCCCATAGCAAAAGACACGATACGCTCAAGACGAGGGTTGCGCCCAAAAGGGCGAGTGTGAGGACGAAGCAGATAGTGTGAAGGAGGGAGATGTCGGACTCCTCCCTCTTGAACTCGGGGTGCTCGTACAGCTTCAAGGGACGCATGGTTTTAGAGTAGTAGGGATGAGATGTGGTCGCCAGCGTGAAGATGTGTGGTAGTCGGGAAGGTGTGTAGGAGTGAGGGCGGCCTTTGCTAGGTCTACTGCGACATTGTACAGACCCCACCTCCGAGTTATATAGAGTTGAGAGCGCTACTAGGACGGATGCTCAGATATCCAGGCGGCTCGGATCGTGACGCAGGTATGGAGGCGCTTGCCAGTCTTCGCCAGATCTGCATCTCGAGCTACCTGACGCACGTCAGACGACGACCCGAGGAATCGAATGCTGAGAGGCGCTGCAAAGCTCCGATATGACTTCGTTACCAAGAGGCCTGCTTGCAATGCAGATTTGCCCGCGACAGCTGAGATGGCGGAAAGAATGTTCCCCTTAGGATGGGTTTGATCGGATTGCCTAAAGTGGTAGCAGTCGGCGTTTCGCAAATTGGCGGTTGACTCCTCCGGTTCTCTCGGAGCTAAGTACCGGGACCATTCGCCAGCGCGACCTGTCAGTCTACAACCTGCCCGGCCGGCGGTGCTTCAGGCTTCGGAAGAATCCAGGACTGCGCCGAGATTGTCAGCAGCGATCTGAAACAGGAGCAAGAGCTCAGTAGCCTTCACGGCAGCGGACGTCCGAGTGCGATGTGCCACTGTTACTCCAACCTATGCGGTGATGGCGGGGCTGCGACATTCGTGTAAGCGCGTATGCAGTGGTCATCGAGCCAAGGGCGAACTCCAGAGTACCAGACTGCTGTCCCCTCGTCCATTGTTGCTCTTCTTGTCCGCGGGTTTGCGACGTACTCCAAGTTCACCGACACCACGACTCCGAGCTGACCTACTCTCCTTGAGAGAAGGATCCGTCATTTTTCAAGTCCTCGGTGCGTCATAGCACATGGAAGGCTGTCGAAATGATCAGTTTTCGAAAACTACGCACTGTCGCTCCGTTGATACGGATCAGGGCTGACCACCACAAATCCGATAATCGCTGGGAAGCAGCCTTATGTCGCAGGATTGTCCACCACAGCTCTGGCTAAGATGGCCTGTACTCATCTCAGCGCATGGAACCCATATGTACAGCATCAATATTCACCTCGACGTCGCAGACAGTTCATGTACTTAAATACCACAGAGGGCCAGCGGCAGCAGCCCAAGCTATGGATCTAGAAGCCCAAACGTGCCAGAGCATGCACTCGCCATGATCAATGGTGGAGCTGCGTGTACGGCATGCACAGAGCCAACAACTCTGACGAAGAGGTGCTAGTGCGACACATCGTTCGCCCTTCACATCTTGTTGAACATGTCATTTAACCCCGAAATTCGCGATACTCACTAGTCAGTATAGGCCCTCGATGCACGAAGTAAACTGGGGAGCATCTTGACGACGATTCTCTCCACATCGTGCGAGCCTTGCTCAGACAAAGGAGGGGCATACGTAGTCACGGGATCGTCCTGCCAAGATGTTGGCTAACGGGTGACCAGCTGCAGTTTCAGTCGCCCTCGAGCACACAGATCATCTGCTTTAGGACTCTCAGTACCGAGCATGTATTTCGCTGTATGTCATGTTGAAGGACCTATCTAGTATTTGACTGGTCAAGGCCATTTCACGAAGACCCGTGTGGTAAATCCTTCGAATGATTACTGAATTCGTGATAGAATGATGTTGGCGAGTATTGCGACACCGTCGGCGCGCCCATGAAGCGCCATGGGCCGTTGTTGCGGAGTATTTGGGTGAGAAAGCTATCTCAATGACGCGCCTCTGTGACGGATGTGAAGGGTCGTAATTGCATATGAGTCGAATATTCTCATCGAGCTAAATGTATGGCATCGATGCGCCTTGGCCTGATCGAGCAAACGCCCCCTGCCAAAACCCCCTAGGCACCGATTGCCGCGTACAAGGGTCGACATACTTGACTCCTGCGGGTGATTGCAACGCCGGACAGTGTGTATGAAAAGATTACCAGAGATAGACAAGTGTATTGGCGGGGAGCAGATCCCAGACCCGTGGCGTTGGGCCGTCTCCCGGTTGACTAGTTGTTGTCGTAAGATCCGAAAGCGGAAAGAATATGCAGAACATAGAGAACGTGAGTACTCATGGATAGATCGTACGGAAGAGCAAACTCACGGTCATTGGCAGATCTGCCGGAGTTGAGACCGGCCTGTGGTCTTCCCTGGTGCTCCGTAGGATCGGCACTTCTCTTCGTACTCAGAATCGCCGCCGTTATCAGGCATGCGCTGGTGGTCAATGTCGGTACACAAGTGTATATGCGCGAGCCGCCAGGAGGAGAGGGCATTTGGCTTACGGCTGAGCGTATCTGAGCACAGTGCAGGTCTAGAACTGGCCCATAGTAGATTAGTCCTCGTACCTAGCTCGGGGTCCGACGTATCAGAAACCGGTGTTTGTCGGACACATGGCTCGTGTGAACCTTTCTACGATACCGCCTGGCGACCGGTAGGCGTTTCCATCGTATTTTGTAAGGATTGAGATACTCTGTCAAGGGCAGGACCAGAAGACATTATGCTGAGGTACAGGCCGCCACGTCAGTGAAGAACTATGGATAGGCCTAATATAGGCGAAGAGACGTACTTGGTTCTGCGTGATACTGATACATGGAGCAGGCATAAGGCGCGTATTATTTGCACGCTCGTATTGCACCTGATAGAGCTCGAGAATGTACATCCCGCTCGTGCCACGGACTCGGAAGAGACGGCCGCCTAGAGTGACGGTTCCCTATCCGTCTCCGTTATATCTTGCCTCGTGATGGGTCCGTATACTGCGCGAGTGGATAACGGACCGTAAAAACAGGCCAGCGCGATCCATGGATCACAAGACGCTAATCGTAGCATCCAAGAAAAGCACAGTTGCTGAGATAGCAAAGTTGAAGCGACCTCGAGTTGAAGAGAGACGAACCTAAGCGCAAAGCATTAGCCGCGTGGCTCCGTCTTGCGGAGTTACGCCGCCTTCTATAGGAACCCTTCCTTGGTTGTTAGCGCGACGCAGTCGTCTCGGTACAAGTATTCATGGTGAGTGGGCGAACGGGGTGTAGCTCTGCAGAAGAGCGGTGATGAACAAGGCTGCAGGCGCCCGACCCGATCAAGGTTTGGGCGACTACACAGCTTTCCCCCAACGTCGACTAATCGCAGATCTCTATCTGTGCTGGCAACATGAGAACCATTAGCCACGCAAGTGTGCAAATCGCGTTGTCGGCTTCGAATATGTCGTCTATACAACAAACAGCTCGATAAGCAGGTCGCAACGATGAGTTGCACAGAACGCGTGGAAAAAAATAGGAGAAACTTCCACACAGACAGACAGATTTTGATTATGAGTAGTAGACATGCTGATACAGAGAATATGACAACACGAAGGGATGGTAAAAACACGGAGACAGGAGTATATGGAAGAAAGGACCGGATGCGACACGGACGCCGACGGGGTTGGTTGGTGGTATGGCCTGGGGTATTGCATGGGCTATGTTATCGAAAGAATGCGATGAGAAACCGGAACGATGCGACCAAAGCTATTGCGTAGTACGGATAAATAACATATGCGAGATAATGGACGTTGATTTCTGATACAGCGAGAGAGTGGACGACCATGCGAAAGGAACAGAAAAGGAGAGGGAGAGGGGGAGACGGAAGATGAGCAAAGGGGGGGAGGCAAACAAGTGAAATGATAGGCTCGGAGCCGCTCCGCCTCACAAACCACAGAGTCCATCAGAAACACACAGGCGCCATTGCATGACGCCTGAGCGTAGAGCGAGTCGCACCCGATGTCGCCCACGGGCGTGAAACTGCTTCCAGACCTGCGAGCGGGCGCCAAAGGCCTCACGAATTCGGAGGCGGGGCGAAACCGGCGCGGAAGCCAAGCTCGCCGGACGAAAGTGCCGCGCCGTTGTGCAGGGCAGCCATATGATTGGTATGTGTGAAACTGGGTCGATGAGCCCGGTCTCAGGAGGTCGATTGTACGCAACAAGGTTACGTTATGTACCGTGAGCGAGGATAGCCGCGAGCTCCTGCTCGCTCGCGGCGTCCAGCTGTCTCGAGCGGGCTTTGAGGCGCACTAGAGTTGTGAAGTGGCGTTAGACTCTAAGGTTCTTCGTAAACGATCCGAGGAATATACTCACGCAGACGATCGAAGCTGAGCAACACGACCTTGGCTGCGCCTGCCGTATCCTTGGTCGCGTCAGCCTTGAGCATCGAAGAGCGATCGGCCCAGTGCTCGTCCTGCCAAAGCGCCGCGCGCAGGATCAGATCGTCCATGTTGCGCTCCCAAGTGTTGCTCGAAAAGTCGACTTGCTCCGTCCGGACGTTGAGATTGGTCAGGTAGTTGCCGCGCGACGTCTGCACCTTGAGCGACGCGGAGTGAGTGCGGATGCTGGCGGTGATATACTTGAGCGCGGCCGCGGCGGCTTGCCCTAGTGGCGTCGCGTTGCCGTGAGCCTGGCTATCGAGCTCCATAATCACCGGCAGCGGGACGACCACGGTCCAGCGGCCTGACTCGACGAGCGCGGAGAACTCGGCTAGCGACGAGAGCAAGATGTTCGTGTCGACCACGAGCACGGAGTAGCCAGGGACCAGTCGAAGCGATGGGCGACCAGCGTCCGCCTTGCGAGGGCCACGCGGGCGTCGACGCGGCTCGCGCTGGCCGGTCTCGAGGAGCGTCTGCAGATACTGCCTGCGCGCCTGAGGTGGGCAAGGGCAAGGACAAAGCTATCGTCAGCATCCCCCCGCGTCATTACCGAAGCGCTGGGAACCCGAGCACTCACCTTGAGCTTGCGAATCTCCTCCGAGTCCCCCTCGTCCTCAGTCGACTCGCCGTCTACGCGCATATCCTCGTCGTCGTCCACCTCCATCGAGTCGTCCTCCCACCGAGTCCCCCGCAGCCGCTGCGCCTCGGCCTCGCGCTCGATACGCTTCTCCTCCTTCCACCGAGCGACCTTATCCGCGAGCGCGCCCTCGACCTTCCACGCCGGCCGGCCCTCCGCAGGCGAAGCGGGCGCAAACTTGAAGCCGTGCACGTCGCGCGCGATACGCAAGCCCGCGCGGGCGAGGCGGACCCAGCGCCGCTTCTCGGGCGACTGGTCGCTCGCCCGGCGCTCGTCGCCGTCGTCCTCCATCACGTCCTCCATCGCGGACTCGGGCGCCTCCACGCGGTCGAGCACCTCGACCTCGACGTTGCGCTCCTCCCCGGCCGCGTCGGCGTCCTTCGTCCAGAACCCGCGCTCGAAGACCTTCTTGCCGCCCCAGCCCATCCCGCGCACGCACCAGTCCTCCGGGAGGGGCGTGCACCCGCTCGTGAGCAGGAGGCCGCTCTCCGCGCTCGCCTTCTGGTGCTCGCGCAGGACGTCGCGCCGGGGGATCGTCGTCAGGAACGCCGCGAGCTCCTCCCACGGGATCGAGCGCTCGAGCGCGGAGCGGGCGGACGGCTCGCGGAGGACGGTCGCGAGGAAGGTGAGCATGATCGTGTTGTAGGGGTTGAGCGTCGGGGTCGCGTACTCGCTCGGGCGGCGCAAGGGATGACGGAGCGTGTGCGAGAGCATCATGAACGTCAACTGCATCGCGTGCTTGAGCGTGGCGGGGAGCTCTGGCTCCTGCGCGGTCGGGGTCGAGCCGTCGGGGGTCTCGCTCGCGCCCTGCCTGCCTTCGCCGTCCTCGTCGTCGATGTCCATGCGGGAGGTGTCGCCGTCGAGACGCTTGGCCATGAGGACCTTTATCCTGCCCGCGGTGACTCCAGTCGGGAGGGTGGGGCTGAGGCTGGGACCACCGACGCTACGGGTCTCGATGCCCGAGACGCGACGCAGCACGGCGGTCTGGCGGCCGTATTCGAGCAGAGACCCGATGTTGATCAGGGCCATCATGATCCACTCGCGCTCTTCGACCTGCTCGCCATCTGCGACAGAAGAAGTGAGCAATTGAGCGCTGGCACGAAGAAAATCGAGACGCGGTGCTCACCTCCGATCTCGAGCTTCTCTTGGAAGCGCTCCAGAACGCGCTTGAAGTCGTCGAGCTGGATGTTGGTGAACAGCATCCCGTGCAGGAGGACGAAGAGCTCCGTGAGACGCGCGTCAGGCGCCTGGCGCCGGGCCTGCGCTGCCGGAGACCACATCGCGAGCACGGATTCGCGCGCAGTAGAGAACGGGTGGAAAGCGACCATGCTATGAGTAGCGCGTGTCAGCCAGAGTCAAAGTCGACGCTGGGAAGCTGAGAAGCAGGACCACGAACCTCTTGACGAAGTGGTACACCCCGCGGAGCTCCTCGTCCGTGCCGTCCTTATCGCGGCACAGCAGTCCGAGATGGTGCTGCAGTTTGCCCGAGTTCGGCGTGATGGCGAGCCCGCGCGCGAACCAGTCCTTCGCGACTTGACGCCAGCGTTCCTTGTCAGAATCGAGTTCCATGAGGCGCGCGGCCTCCTGCCCTACGCTAGGAATATTGTGCATGTGGGCTGCCGCAGCACCTGCGACGGCGTCAGCCCCGAGAGGCATCTCGGCTTCCGAAGATTGCGGGCTGTCGTCGATGCGTGCTGGCGTGGGCGAGACCGCAGCGGATGGCAGATCGGTAGCGGGGGGGTTGGGCGATGACGGACGGGGGGTGTTCGATGAGAGAAGATTGTTCGTCGCGACGGCAGACGCCGTGAGGGTGTTGCTCGAAGTGTGCGTCCCTTCAAGCAGCGCGCTCACGGCCATCCAGTACCTGGAAAGATCGCCCAACGCTTCCAAGAAAGCGCTGCGATATTGCGCGAAGTTCCTCTCCTCGATGAGACCACCGTAAAAGACGTACGCATAATTGAGGAATTGCTATGTACACAAAGTCAATGAATGCTGTGCGACAGAGCTTGCACAGGACTTACTTGCAGATACTCCAACGCGACCAACGAACTGGTCGGGGGACGTGCCGCATGGCGAAGGGATTCGAGCAGATGATAAAACGCATGCGACCACAAACGGATGATGAGATTGTACTTCTGCGGAATGTTCTTCAGAGATGCGGGGACCGTGGGCGCCAAAGTCAGAGCTAGCATCTCGCGTATGCTCTCCGCCAGTCTAATGAACGAGAATCAGATATCGGCGCCCCGCACAAAACGACAGAGCACGAGAAACGTACTGCTGGTGCCCGGCTACGAGCTTCCGCCAACGCTCAGACTCGCCCTCCTCGTCCGTGGCGTCTCGCGCGGCCCCGGAGTTCGCAGGGCGCCCCTTGATCAAGACCCCTCGCTGCGCTGCGCGCTCGCCGTCATCTCCGCGCTCCCGATCACGGTCATTCCCGAGGAGCTTGCTCTCCAGGCCGCTGATTGTGCGGTACACCTCCTTGAGCTTGCGCGAGAAGGCGTTCGCGCTGGAGGCGCTGTCTTCGGACCTCCGACCGGCGGGATTGGAGGAATCGAAGAGAGCGGAGGAGGCCGACGAGGAGTCGGTGGCGGAGGATAGGGTGAAGTTGGAGGAGATCGTCGACTGCGCATAAGATGCCGATGATGTCGAAGAGGCGGACACCCAGTCGCCGGAGGACTTGGGCGTGGGCGTGGGACGTCCAGCGTTGGGAGAGTTGGTGGGGGGCGCGCTCGGGGCATGATGTCGGTTCTGAGCCGAGAAGAGCACTGCGTCGTGCTTGCGCGGGTCGAAGAGTTGTCGATGAGAGTCGGGAGCGCCTCTCGAAGTCTGCGCGGGTTGCTGAGCTCTTGAGGGCATCGCGCGCGGGGAATGTGAGGAGGAAGCGGCGTCCGACATTGCGTCTGGCTCGGCGGAGATGACGGGGCGGCGGATGGGATCCGAGTTGGGGTTGTATAGTTTACCGGGACTGCCGTTCGCAGCAGGTCGCGCATGCGCAGCACGGGGGGAATGAGGCGAGATCTTGAGGCGACGCGAGAAGTCGTCTGCGTCGGCTTCCATGTGCGATGGGGACGCCTCCGACACAATGATGTTTGGATGTGAAACGGGAGGCGCATACGACTTTCGTGGCGAGGATGGACGCGCGGTGGACAATCTCGGGGAGGAAGTGGAAGGTTGTGAAGGCCGGTCTGGTCTTTCGCGGGGAGCCGCGGTACTGAGATGCATGGAGGAGGTGAGTATGTTCGGATACGAGGAGGAGGAGCGGGTACGTACGCTTGCTTGCGCCTGAGGGCGATAATCCTGTCTGCAATATCTGGCTGTGCGCCCTCTCTCTCCTTGCCCTTCCTGGAGGCTGTTGCGATTTTTGTGTGAGTGGGCTCCTGCATGGCTGGAGAACGAGGGATATTATGGAGCGCGTCGACGCCCGAAAATAAGGAGGAGATGGAAGTAGTGGGGAGAGAAGGGTTGAACGGAGGAAGGAGCGAGAGAGTGGGTGCTGCGATGCGCAGTGAGGGCTAGCGGGATCCGCTCTCAGCCAATTGCAAAGTTGGGACGCCTGCGCACTCCGCAGTCTCGACAGCTGCGCAGTTCAATCTCGATCGATCGTCACCTCCGTCACGCGCGTCACAGCGCTGCGGCACCGTCGGCGGGCGACAGTCTGTCCGCTCTCAAGATGAGCCCTGCTCAGGCTGCTCTTGCTGCTGCTCAGCCCGGCCTCGTCGCAGTCGCAGTCGCAGTCGCAGTCGCAGTCGCAGTCGCAGTCGCAGTCGACCCCGCCGCGGCCTGCAATTGCGCGTTGCCTGCTCCCGCCCACGCCCAGCAGCCACGCACTCGATCGCCGAGGAGCTGGCGAACGTCTGCGCTTGCCCTGTGCCCGTCCCTCGAGCTATCGTGTGCCGGCCTTCCTATGTACTCACGCCATCAGCGTGTCCGCTCTTCCTACACATGCCCTCCCCCTCCTCCGCGCCCTACTGGCCCCCCAGAACGTCCCCTTCCCGTCGGTGTCTTCTCGGGGATCTTGTCCTTGCCAGCCAGCGTTCCACAGAGCATCAATGACCCGCGCTTGCACACGCACCTACACCGCCTATGTACCCAGCAATAGACGCATTATCACCCCCCGCAACCTCCGTTTCTCTGCGTTCTGAGTCTGTGTGTACTCATTTGTGGCTATATATGTCCTCCCCTCGCGAACCCGACTGCCCTCCCGCCGGCGTCCCCGCGTACCTTCCCACTGGGAATCGCAAGAATGACCGTCCCTTAACGCGCATCAGTCCCCCGCCCATTGGGCCCCGTCCTTCCGCACACAATACACATGGGAAGCTCGCGCGCTATTTATGTGGTCGCTGTCGTTTTCGAAGACGCGTTCCCCCCGCTGTACGGACCGCCTCGGACCACACACATGTCAGATGTTCCACCTTCCCGCCCTGCCAGTCGCATAGCGTTCTCCTCGGTGGCGGCGGGCCACTCATATCGATGACGCGCTATCGTACACAGACAACCTAACCGTCGGCCAGTCTCCCAAAATACCTCAAGTCCCACAAGTCGTGTACTCGGAAGCCTCTGCTCGCACCACCCATCAGACACCCACAGAATAGCGCTCGTGGCGTAACTGTCATGTCACCATGCATGATGTCCGCCGCTCACGAGAATGCTGCAGATCCACACGCCGGACCCGTCAGCTATCGCCGACGAAGTTTGAAGCGTGAAGTGAAAAAGGCACGCACTCGCTTCCCGTACAGAACGTGCTCGCGTCGCTGGCGAGCCAGGCCACGACGCCTCGCAGCTCGTCGGGGCGCCCGATCCGCCCGAGGGGGTTCAGGCTCGCCCATTTATCGAGGAGGTGCGGCTGCGTATCAAGGTATGCTGCGGTCATGCTGGAAGGGTGCGAACGTCGTCAGTCAACAGTCTTCGCTAATTTCCTTACTTGGCAGGGCGTGCGCCCGTACGCGTCCGCCGCCCGCCCGCTCGGCGTTCCTGCAACACGTCGGTCCGCGTACACGACCCGCTCTCGCGAGTATCATGCGAAACAGGCATCGGGGACAGCGAACTTCGGGGATGACAACGACGCGGCCCGAGAGATCGGTACGCGAGCCGGCGCAAGCGGTGACGTACTTTGTGTAGATGTGCCCTGGGCTGAGCGTGTTGACGCGTATGCGCTTGGGACCGAGCTCGCAGGCCATGCTGCGCGCCATTTGCAGCACGGCCGACTTGGACGTGTTGTATGATACCCAGGCGTGGTCCTGTACGAATGAAACGCATGTGTGTGACATGGCCCCAGGAGGGAGAGCAGAGCGTCAGTGATGCATATGTACAGGAGCGCGCGCAGTCAGCCAGCGTCGCGGAGCGCGGAGGCATCGTCTGCAGCCGTCCGCGCACAAGAATATCCACATTGTTGACGCAGATCGTCGAGCTCCGCAGCAACAGTCGACTTGTCACAAAGGAATCCGACGTACCTTGTTGGTAATGCTACCGGACATACTCGCGACGAGGATGATACTCCCTCCGTTCCCGAAGCGTGCCATCTGTTGACCTGCGGCTTGCGCAGTGAACAACACGCCGTTTACGTTCACATCCATCACCTGCGCAATAGTGAAACGCAAGACGCGTCAGCGATCAGGCCACACAGAGAAGGACACGATAGACAGATATGTTGCAAGAAGACGTGGCCACCACATAGGCCGCCCAGGTGATTAACCGCGCATCTGTTGCAGTCATCCATCCGTTCTGCAGCCCGCCACTCGGTCCGGGCAGCGGGGTGTGAGCGAAGGTCCTCGCACCGCGCAGCGGTGTCACGCCCCGCTTGTGAACAGACAGCATGCCCGCGGGGCGCGCGACGCAACGCCAAGATAAACGGAAGCGGTCTGACGTCTAAATGACTGACCTCCTGGAACTGCTTCGCCGGGTACGTCAAGCAGTCGGTGTGGCTCTTCAGCACACCCGCCGCTGCGACGCACGCGTCCACCCGGCCCTCCCTGTTCCCGATCGTCTCGCCCAGCTTCCACACGGCCTCCTGGTCGCGCACGTCCGCGCTCATGTACTCGAGGCGGCCCTCGCTCGGGAGGCCCTCGAGACGGGCCGCGTAGTCCCGCACTTTCGTCCATTCTTCGCCCGGCTGCCTGGGGAGGTCCACGCAGTACACCGCGCGTGCGCCGGCCTCGATGAGCGCGAGGGCCATCTCCAGCCCTAGGCCGCGGTTCCCGCCTGAGACCAACGCGACGCGGTCGGCGAGAGAGAATTCGTTTGTCAAGAGCGTAGGCTTCGCAGCTAGAAGCGGTCAAAGGTCGGACATAGTGCCATACGGAAGTATGCGGGTACGTACGAGCGTCAGGAGGCGCTTCTAGGGCTTTGGCAACGCCAACGGGGCCATAAGGAGGCAGGGGGCCTGTTTCACGTCCACGCGCCCCGTCAAAGGTCCTTGCTGTGCTCGAAAAGCTTGCCTTAGTCAAACGAGAGTTTGCGATAGGGTTTGCGCGTTTGAGAACGGAGAGGCCGAGTCTCGATGTCATGGTATGCATTTGCTCTGCGCGCAGATGTGTCCTGTGGTGGAGTCGAAGTGTTGGCGTCGCCGCTGAGGGTGGGGGGCAAATGCCTTGTGAAGTCGACTCTCACCGTGTGTATTCTTATACCGGGTGGGGGATGCGCGTGAGGTCCCTTGTACATAAAGTCGAGAGGTCATGCGGCAGTCATGGGATGCACTTCGTCTGCCATTCCGAGAAATCGTCGAGAAGCGACGTCTTCATTGTAGGTAATTCTGGGTGCAATGGCTACGGGGTTCAAGGCAAACCCAGACAGAGAAGCGTGGAAATTCCATGGGCGAAACGAAGGCCGGGAGGTGTCGAGTCTGCGGTTGTTGTGGAGAAAATGAGTCAGAAAGGCAGGCTGTGGTGAAGACATGGTCCGCACCAGGTGGTGGCCGTAGGATGCACGCGTTGCCTGACCATTCTGCTGACGTATCGCAGATATGAAAGTAACGAGTTAGAGACGACAGTTAGGGGACGTTAAGAGACTGTGAGACAGCGGACAATCGGATGACATGCTGGGAAGGCGCGAAGCTCAGCGCTGTAATCGTCCGTCCAGCAAGCGATCATGAAGAAGTTGCGTAAAGGTAAAGTGAACATTTTGTGTTATATCACTCAACACCTCAACTTGACCGTACTGCCATACAATGCGGGTCGTAACAAGACGCTCTCTGATCGCTGGTGGGCGCGTAGGTGTCTAGTGTAAGGGGATGAATTGTTTCGACTACCGCACGGATTGCTGTCGGATGGACCTCATTACTAATATATGGCTTAGTGGTTGCTCGTACCGCCTCCAACGCTGCTCGATGATATCAAGAAAGACTTCCTGTTTGGAGTACACCTGAAATACATCAACGCAGTCTACTTCACTACCGAACTTGATCAACGTCTATACATCTGTGGCGCTCCATTATCTTTCGTGCGCCGCAGCACCAACCCACTGTCCGTCGCCAGAAACCGAGGCCTAGCGAAGAGAGAACTCCAAGAAACATTCTGTCCAGCTACATCCGCTCACACTCGTCTGGCGGAATGGAAGAGGAAACTCATCAGATATGAGTACTCTGAGCGACCACACATTTATTACCCAAAAGTACCAGCTTTCGTTGTCCAGGAATACCGGCAATGCGCTGCGTTCGGCGTCGAGAGGCACGCAAAGTCGCTACATTGTGGATAACTTTGTGTGACTACGACTGACACTCGTCAACAAGCGTTGAGACTTACCGGAGGATGGATTGTATGCTTCGTCTTCCGCCGGAGTTGGCTTTCCACAAGCGCACTCTGAAGACCACATCTGCTCAAGTACTCCTCGAAGGGCTGAGAGTTGTCATGTGCCACGGTCAGCATAGACGGGAAGACGAGCATCCTCGCCATATAGGCTGTCATGTCAAGATGAATGAGTATCAGCGACTGTAGCAACTACAGAAGGCTGAATATATACCTCGAAGCGCAGCTGGAGAGGCGCCATTAGGGGGCACCGGCATCTGCAAATTACATAGGAAGACTCTATAACACACAGGTTGGCGTGAGTGAAATGGGACTCACTCTTCCTGCGTTCAACAAGTGATCTGTGCACCTAGTGACCTCATCCCTCCCTGGCTTTGCACGAGCTTCCTCCATAGGCCAGTTGAGCGAGTAGGTGAGCAGCGTAGCACAAGGGTTCGACGGGTTCAGAAGTGGACCCCAGTCTGATAGCACACGGGTGTCACAGCCAACGAGCTGTGCCACCAGATAAACAAAGACAAGCTTACTTGTGAAGGGGTTGGTGCTGGGGAGCGAAGCAACCACAAGTGACACAGCAAGAGATGAGGTAAGCAAGTAGATTCCCTAGACTAGAAGGGGCAGTGAAGAGGTAGGGCTGCTAGCTACCTACAAAGGAGATGGGGGATCAACGAGAAGATCAAGTCTGAGGTTCCCTGCCTCAGACCTCCTACTATATATACTAATACAACGGTGCACAGACCAGGTACCTATTGACCATCGTTTGGTCAGAGTTCTCTGCCTCATGTCCTACCCTATGACCTGCCTCATGGTGACCTTACGACTAATACCTGAGTCGTGCCGAGTCCGGACACTTCCCATGAGTAAGCGCTCCTGCTGTCACATCAGTCACCTGCTTGTGAGTGAGGATGGGCGCTCCTGGCCGTTACGAGGTCTGGGGTTCGATCCTGGCCCCTCCACTTTCCGATACGAGTTGTCCGTGGTCAAGGTGAGCGTCTGTCCCCGTACACATGACCCCCAGGTCACGTGGCACGAGAAAACTGTGACACTACCCCCTCTTCAAGATCTGAGCTCCTGCGAAGCGTTCAAACCAGATATTGCGTTGAAACTCCCGGGCGACTGGTCGTGGGTTGTTGAGAGCGATTGGTTGCGGTGCGTTTGGATGGAGTGCATGGAACTCATCGAGTAGCTCCTTCACGTATTTGACATTCCGTACAGGCTCCCA